TTGACCTCTTTCATATAAGTTAACATCATCGAGCAGTACTTTGACATGCAACCTTGAATAGGTCATACATTCTTGGTAGATTCTCTTTGCCTCTTCCATATAAGTTAATGACATTGAGTAGTGCTATAACATACAACCTCAAATAGGTCATACATATTTAATGTTTGACAGGAATGTTAAGCCCTAATGAATTGGTCCCAAGTCTAAGCAAGAGGGGGGGGGAGTGAATTTGTATTTTAAAAAATCATTAATCAAAAACACAATCTTAAACCAAAACCTAGATTCACCATAGAAATCAAAGTGCAGAAATTAAATACGAAAGCAGTAATAAAGAACATAGAAATTTATAGTTCTTCGGTCAACTCAGCCTACATCCACTCCTTAAAAGCGCCCACCGAGTATTGCACAACATACAACATCTTTCCTTTTTCCCCCACGGTAAGGCAGAGAAGCCTTTACAAACCTCCTTTCCACCAACCCAGGTGAGGCAGAGAATCCAACTCCCTTTGCTTTCCCCAGAAGCAGGAAGACAACCCAACTCCTTTTGCTTCATCCTAAAGCAAGCAGAGAACCTTGATCAGATATGAAGTAGATCTCCCTTGAACGCACAAGGAATTAGGGACAAAGACTGGAGAAGATGATGATAGATCCTTGCTTGAAGCAACCTTTGTGAAACCCCTCACAAACTCCCCCTAACAAGATATTCTCTCTCTCCCTTGCTCTCCCTCTCCTCTTAGCTCTCTGAGGAAAGAACAGTAGCAAAAAATAATCTCTTGGGTAGAACAAGAGGTCTTAAATAGAAGAGCCTAGGAATAGCTCTTAATTACAACAAACTGACTTTATCATCCAGGATGAAATAAATATCATCCTATACGATTAGTACAAATTTAGCTCATTTAGCCAGGATGATTTGGGATGATTAGAAGGTTTTTATTCATATCATCCAGGCTGATAGGATATCATCTTATATGATTAGTACATGTTGTTGAATATCATCCAGAAGATCATCCTAAATGGATGTTTGGATGATGGAATAATAACCTGATCATCCAGGCTAATCTCACGATCATCTTGGATGATATGTTTAATTTAGTGTATATCATCCAAAGCATAGCCTTGAATAGAAGCTGATCGATGTTTGATCATCCATGAACAATTAAGGTTTTTGAACTGATCGTCCCGACCAATCCTGCGATCATCCTATACGATATGATCTAGCAATCAAACATTAATTACTTTTCTTAATTATCAAATTAATTTAGGCATAATTGTGTTGTAGCATCCAAGATGATGTCCTGGACGATGTCCAAAAATAAAAGTTACCTAAATAGATATGGCAACTAATTCTTTCTGATTTGAGCCTATTATCCCGACCGATAAGAATATTGTCTAAGATGTTTCTCTTAATAACGGCTGCCTTAACCAGGATGCCCTAATTAGGGTTTCAATTTTTAACTAATCGTCCAGGACAATATTTGGATCGTCCTAAATAATGTTAGCAAAAACATATCTTATGTGTGCAAGGTGTGTGTGTGCAAGATTACTTAGCATTAGGAACCACATCATTTACAATTGACTCAAGAAAAGGAAAAGATTACAAACTGACTCAGACCTAGTCTACCCAATCTTTAGCTGGTTCAAATTTTCATTTGATTTTATGGACCTAAAAAATTAGTAGGTAAGGCAGTCGTAGAGAAATAGAAGTGTTTGCTATCATCAAAATTATATTCCCTGAAAATAGTTTCGCAACACATCCTTAGTGGATTATAAACTTAAAAATAGTTAAATATCTATGGTGGATTCAAATGAGATATTCTCTACTACACATTAATGTGTTTCTTATAACTTCATCTTCAAACAAAA